TCTGACACCATGGAACTGGTGACCTGTGAGTCATTATTTTATGAAGCAGACACGGTTAAGAGGGCAGCACCTTGGTGCAGTTGTTTAAATTGCTGCCTCAATGCGCTTGGGCCCTGGGTTCAATTCCTGGTGTGTATGTTGTTTCTATGTCCGCGTGGGTCTCCTCCAGGTGCTCCGGTTTCCTCCGACAGTCCAAAGAGATATTGGCTTCTGGGAAACACTGGCCCTGGCAGAAATGTGTGTGCATTTGTGTTTGTGTTTGTGTCTGTCTGCCAGGTGATAGACTGGCTTCCACAGTGTACGCTGCCTTACACCCGCTGCATGCTGGTATAGGCTCCGGCTCCCCCATAACCTGTTAAGGAGCTGTTAAAAAATGGATGGATAAAGGTGAGACCTAGAAGCCAGCACAGACAGAAGACATAGCCCACCTTATGATGAAAGAAGGGACAGGATAGTGTTGCCAGGGCTATAGAAACTCATCTTGTAGAGACTATACACAGGGCCCTCTTTTTAATCCACCCATCTCTGGCCCTCCTTCCTCCACCCACATTTTAACATTCCTTATTCTGATTTAAAAAAAATAGGTTATTGTCTGTTTCAATGACCGGTTTTAAACCCAAACAGAAAGCCACGAGAAAAATACAGCACAAGTTGAAAAGTATAAGTAAACGTATCCCCTGTAACACTTGACCACAAAGACAAGACTCTACAGGCTGTGAATGAGAGAATGCAGAGTCCCCAAGGAAAGGAAGGTTAATCATTGCTTGTCCTGTTTCACTTAATGAAATCCAGTTGTGCAATCCATAATAAGAGTCACAAACTTTTAATATCAAAGTTCCCCTCCTCCTCTTCAGCCACTTGAATCTTTGCTGAATTTTCACAAAAAAAGACAGTTTGCTGCCAAAAGACAACTATTTACCCCACAAGCTGACGCAAGTTCTGGCCCTTCTCTGACCTGCTGTGGGCTATATATAGTTTAACACTTCACCACAAAGATTTGAGCACTCGTCTCCCAGCGCAGTCAAGAGGCCCTCTCCCTTCCAAAAAGCACAACCTCCGGACAGTTTATTTTCCACAAATCATACACAAATGTTTATAGCTTTTTCCACAAATTAAACAAAAATGGAAGGGGAAAAAAAATAAGGCTGAACACGCTACAAAAAGGCGGGGTGCCAGTAAACACTCTGTGCTCACATTCTAAACTTGAAAAGTATTCAGATAGAAAACATTGCAAGGAGACTATTATGTTATACGAATGTATGTAATACATGCTGTATGGACGCAGAGAATGAATGCCGTAATGAACGGGGCAAAGATTAAGTCTGTATTTGTCATCATTTCATCTGTCTTTAGACTGTACTAGCTTGGTGTGGAAACTCTTGCAAGCGGGACACAGAAATGTGCCTGTTCAAATTGCCTCTTGCTCTTGGTCCTTGGTGAGAGAATACCGCATTAGATCCCAAATGTTTAAATTAGCTTTATTTATGTTTTCTTTCTCAATCTGGGCATAAAATACAGATCTCTGCTGGTGAAGATACTGATTGTATATGTATTCAACTACTTTCCTTTTGTTACAAATTAGAACGCACCCTTGATGTGCTTATGAAACCCTTTCTATGCTATTTAAATAGGGCTTTCACTTTTTTACAACTGAACTCTTTCCACTTCAGCTTAATTCAACTTGCCCTACAGCAAAAACAAGTACAGCCTCTCTGCCAAACGAAAAATTGAAGCCACAGTGGGGTGTGCAACTCACTCCCGCTCTCTGTCGCCTTATTTTCATCAGGGCGGTCAGGACCTCTGTCTGATTATTATCTGCCCTTTTTTTCTGAAATGGCAGCTTCCATACAAGTTCTGGACGCTGAACTAAGTACCTATCAACATCCTGGGCACACTCCCTTCACTGCCATGTTGACAGAAGCCAGTCGTGAGGAAAAAGTAAAAGTTGTCATTGCATCTTCACGACCTGGCACAGGGCTCAATTTTTTCTCTTTCAATTTTGCCCTGTTATACCCATGCAAAGCATTTCTTCAAACTGCTCTTCACTAGATTTTATTTAATTTTTAAATCCTGAACTAGATAAATCAGTTGAGGGCAAGGTCTCTTTGTGTCAAAAATGGGATCTGAATCCTTTAGTTGAAAGTTCCCGAGTTTTACCCCAAGACATCCTTGATCTTCCTTGATCACATTGTAACCACTTACCAATACCATCTTATGTTCATCTAGAATAAATGCACTCTTTCAAAAATGTTAAATTTACTTTCCAAAAACACTTCACCTTACACATGGGTTATATGGTTCCAAAACACAGAGGCAACCCAGAAATCAAGAGCTTTAAATCATTTGTGTGACTCTCTGTTTCTGGCTTGTTTAGCACTGGTCAGGCTACAGCTGCTGTAGAACATACAGTACTCTGTGAAGGTTTCACACTTCCTCTGTCTGAATTCCAGACCGCACCCAGAGGTCTGCAGAGTCTGGTACTGTGAGGTACTGTGGGAGATAAATGCATTGCAGCTGGCTGACTGACCAGACCTATGGCTTTACACAGCAAAGTGCGTCTCAACCAGAGGAAATCAAATTCACCCATTAAGATAAGACTCAAGTCAAATGAACTGCATGGCTCCCCTTGATGTTGAAATATCTCTTACTGGAGTTAAACCTTGGCTCTATTTCAAACATCGTATCAACTGTTATCCTCATACACTGATAAAAAAAGGAGTCAGGATTAAAATATGCAGTCTAATTTGTTGGTTAAAGTACTGTAGATTTTTCAATGGACTTTATAAAAGGTTATGTCCCCAAAGTGTTGGGGAAGGTTACTTTTAAGAGGTAAGCCATTATAGTTACAAGTTGCATAACATTTTTCTAACTGTTTTTGTTTTATTTGAAAAATTTAGAATTTGTTCTATCCGCAAGATGTGGAATTGTCAGTTGTGTGTTCATACCTCAGCTCGAAAGGTATGTTCACACACGGGGAGAATGAGAAAGTGTAAGCAGACTCCTCCTGCCTGCCCACCTTTGAGCCTGTGACTTGGCATCCATACATGGGGATTCAGCACAATCAGCACGTCACTGTCTCACTGTAAGCCCAAATAACCCTGGCAGACTTTTCCAACCTCATCCTTGATGGCGCTCAGCCCATTGTGTGTCACTGCTTGAGGAATCACAGTCATAGTCAACTAGTGACTCAGACTTGAACCTGTGCTTTTGTTGGCCTTTTTGTGTGGGACTACATACACGTGTGCCATTCTAGATGTGACAAGGCCCAGAGCTCTGACACACTAACTTACACTCGTTATGAAGTACATCGGATTTGCTTTATATTATGAAGTGGAGTGAAGCGGAATCTTACATTTTATTCTCATATTTTACACGTCTGGGGCAGTGTGTGGGCAAGAAAATCAACCACAAAAGACTAACTGAAAAATACAATGTGGAAATAAGAAATGCAAAAAATGTACAAAATGGCCGCTTGAAAAGACCATGATGATCAGGATAGTGAGCTGAAGTTATTTGGCTGTGCAGGATTAAATAACACCTTGAGAACAGCAGTGCAGGAGGTGGTTTGGAGTCTTTGAATCTTTTATTGAATCCCCTTTCACATTGATACTGTATATGTTTGTTTAAAGTAAGACAACCTCCAAAATGGTTGAATCCTTAGTTTTGGAAGAGCTATAAAAGGTATTGGATGTCTGCAATTAAAATGCTTCACTTCATCTTTGCTTTAAAAGCATCAAGAGGGTATAATTTTCAAGAATCCAAAGTGGAGTCTGTTGGGCCTTTATGATAACATTTTTCTGTCATCTCAATTTAATTTTTAAACTTCTACCAGCTAATAAATTGGGTGGAACCTATTGTTTTTTTTTAATCTTGCCATTTCATACCTCTGAAAAAGTATGGAAGAAGCAGTCATGTTGAAGAGCAATTCAATTTGAATGTCAGGATTAGTTTTCATACGCAAACAAAACCTTTTTTTTCAATTGCCAATAACCACATTGTTGTGTTTGAAGAGATCATAGCCTGTGAAAGAGTAAGTACAATATTTCAAGGTTGCAGTTGTTATTTTTGATTCCAATGATAATAAATGTCTGTATAATTTACATGCCAGTCACAATATTCAATTAATACTGCAAGACCAGTCAGAAAAATGAGATGAGGTTTCTTATCATGCATCTGTATTACACCGCTTTGTCTCAACAAGACAGGGGTATTAATGATGTATTGTATTAATACAACAGGATTAATGTTGAAGATGACAAGGCAACACAAATAAATTGAAACACGAGAGCTAAAACTTCATCTAACCTGACTTTTAAACTTTTACTAAAGAAATTGATGAGTAAGTGAATGGATGCAGAACAAGTAAGGTGGCAGGGCACAGAGATGTGTGTTTCTTGCCCCCCCAAAAAGTAGTATTTTGGAGGAATATAAATACTCAAAGGAAATACATTTAAGAAAAGGAAAATATTTGCTGAGTAAAATGCTGTAACACAAATCGCTGAAAAAACACTGCACAGCAGCCCATGAGTCCAACTCCCAGTCAGTGTCTGAACATGTTCATTGAGCTTGCTAAGGCAAGGAGAGCTCAGAAAATGTCTCAATCCATCTCAATGTTCCACCACAGGAATTAAAATCCTATTTATAAATGTCAACCTTTTCATGTTAATTCCCTTAAAGATTAATCCCTGGATAGTTGATGCACTGAAATGCATTTCCTTCCCCCAAATATGGAAACCATTATAGGCCAATGATTCCAGTTTCTAATCAAGAATGGATGAAACTTGGGATGGTCTAGCAGTTGAATCAGTATTTTGTCTTGAAAAACTTAACTGAACCCATACGGGTTTTGGGGAATGACAAACATCCCACAAGGATTTTATACTACTCAAAAAGGCAAATTGTACATGGCAGACGCTGCCACAAAAGCTTTCATTGCATCACAGATATCTGACAAACATTCAGAATTTATAGGGCCTTTATTGTCACAAGAATGTTTAGCGTTGTTTCGAAATACAGGGAATGGAGGTGAGGACATCAATATCTATGTAAACAATTTTGCTGACTGAGGTCACATAAATGGCCTGCTCTCTGCAGCAGCTGAAGTTTTGGCCCATTCATAATCATCATCGCCATTCCTAACCTGTAGTGATTGTTCCTTCCTGTCACAAAAACAAAAAAAAAGGCAACTAACATTTTATAAACATTCAATAAAACATGCAATTGATGCATTCAAAAATCACCTTCTTTCAGAATTCACCAAACAAGAAGGAAGACTCTTAAAAAGGATGCAGAATGTTAATGAAAATTCCTGTTAGGCAAGGTTAGCCATTAACATATTCTTTAAAACCGTGAAGAACACATAAAATACGCCACACCATCTGTCAATAGGTGACAGCTCAAAGAGACACTCCGATTTCTTTGCTGTATGCCACCTAAATTTGTGAAGCCTTGTATCAATCATTTGGTGGCAGTACAATCTTTGCCCTTGCATTCAGATACGCACTCATCTTTCCTACAGCCCTTCCCACGTCCTCTCACATCTGCCTTGGCCAACGAGAACCAAAATATTAGCATGACTTCTCACCTGAGATAACCTTGCCTGTGTGCAAAAATATTTTTAGACCTTCTTCTAGAGATCTTGGAGTATGAATTGTTAGAGTGTTTATGCTAATTTATGTTTATAAATACAGCTCATTCACTTTAAACTCTAGGCAGTGGTCAGTCAAACCGAGAATTATAAATATTCCAGTCATTGAGTGCGTGTTTATATATTTTGGTCTGTTTCACTAAAAGATCTCTTGACAGTCTTCTGTCAGCCCACATTCTTCACTAATCCCCAACCCTATTTCACTTCGACAGGGAGTGCACAGATTAATTCATGGCTTCCAGACAACAAGATATTAAAGGACAGGACCACCCCTGTTATTCATCGCTTCCTGAGTAAGCTCATAAATCCAAGAGTCCATACTTCATCAATCAGAGAGGCTGCTTAATAACAGGCAAAAGCCCCTCCAGCGAATAAATGCAAGCTCTCAGACCTGTTCTGCAGTCTCATGTTTCCCTCCTTCGGATCAAAGCAGGGCATCCCAGGCGCCAGATTCACCTGGAACTACAGGCATGTACCTGCCAATAATAACCAACTAGAAAGCACCCCCCCCCCTAAAAACAAGCCTCCCCCCAACACACACACCCACTTTCTGCCAGCCCTCAACACTTTTCTTGTTACATTACTATCAACCACCAGTGGAAATCCTAGTGTACTTCTAATCCAAATATCTTTTACTGTACTTTTTAATGTAAATAAGCTGTAATTGATAAGATCATAGCAAGTGTGCTTTAGGGAATGCAAGATCTGGGATTTTTAAAGCCAATGGATTAGTCCATTAACAGGGATTGTCCGTCATTTTTTATAACAAGAACAACTAATACTGATAGCAGCTGCAGATTTTCATATGTGTGGCAGTAAGAGTTAATGCTGGGCTTTAGGTTAATGAAGGCAGACGAAATGCAGGAGACTTTCTTTGTGTATCCTCATGCTGTTCAGTCAGAATTCATTATGAATTTGGCATGCTGATTCTTGAGTTACCAAAAATAGTATAGTATATATTACAAGCAGGACAACATCCATCCATTATCTAAGTGCATCTTCCAATTCAGGGTTGTGGGTGAGCCAGAGCCAATCCCGGCAAGCAACACCAGTCCATCGCAGGGCAAGCACAGACAGATCCCCACACACTAACAGCAGTTCCATTTTTCTCAGAAACCAATTTACCTACCAGCATGTCTTTGAAATGTGGGATACCTGAACACCTGGTGGAAACCCATGTGAACACAAAGAGAACATGCAAGCTCCATGCAGATAGCACCTCAGTTCACCTCCGAATTGATCTCAATGCCCCAGTTCTGTGAGGCAGTAATGCTAACTTCTGCACCACAATGCCACCATAGGACAAACTGATCCCTCTCATAAAAGATTTGTTCATTCGGCACTGATTGCTTTTGAGAAATACACTGTCAATAGGCACAGTCAGCACTTTTTCGTGCATTTGTCAAACTGGATAATTATTTTTTTTATTATTTTCTGTCTTTACCCTGCAGACCTAGTCATGTCTGACTTTTTAACAACTAAATCTGACAAGAAATGTTTTATATATAACATCTCTGTTTGTTTTTCTTCTATAATGCACAGAGACCCAGATGGGGAGGCCAAAGTTTCAAAGTGCACTTGTGGGGTCAAAGAGGGTGCCTGTGGCAGACGGCTGGAAGACAGACTCAGGATTTGCTATCTCTTCTATTACTGCTGCATCCTAACCACTCACACCGCAAGTGAGCTCTGAAACATGAAATGTGGGTTCCTTGAAAGAAGCCTCTCTGGCTCTCCATTTTTTATGATTGCTCATTTGGGACGTGGGTGGAATTTTCCCAGGCTAAAGTCAGATACAAAATCTGGTCCTAGTTTGCAATGAAACATGGCTTCATTAGAACATTATCAAGGGCACTCCTGCTGGCTTGCTTTGTGTCTAAATTGACCTTTAGTAGGTGTCAAAATTGCAGCCGACAAAATGTTGGACATCACTTTGCACCACATGTGGGACACATGAGTGAGTTTAAAATACTGTACTGAAAAACAAACAAAACTTGCTGCACCACCTGCCTAGAAGAACACACATTGTTTGGTTACATTTCTGAGAAATGGCTGCATATTCATTCCGCATTTTAACTGAAACTCAAAGCAACCTTGTCATCTATGCCTTACAGAATGCGTTTCCAAGTCTCCTGTTGTTACATGTGCAAAGCTGATCAGGTCTGGCTTTTAATTTAGAATATATACGCATGAGTAATCTGTTCCGACAGTTTTTTTTTAAATCTGACACCTCTATCAATACATTCCCAAATGTCTCTCCCAAATTGAAGAATAAACCTCAAGGTTCTAATAAATAAAGCATTGGCATTGATAATATTATAGTGGTTGTATGCAATTAAATGAATTGTTGCTTTTCAGATACCAGATCACTTTTGGAGCAGCCGGAGTTTGTCCTAGAAAGCAATGCTTTCTGTCCATTCTCTTTCTCACAGTCTCCTTTCTTAAAAAAATCAAACTTCCATTTATTTGATTAAATTAGTCTCAGCAAGCACCTAACTGCACACTTTCCAGTTCAGAGGCAACATCAGTTTAACATCACAGACTCCAAAAGATGAGTAAAATATTCAGTATGACATTACTAGAGCTGGACTGATGAAGTAATATTCTGTATTTGAACTACTGTAGCTATCACACATTTGCCATCTAATTATGTGTTACTTTTTAAAGGTACATTTTTTCTGCAGTTTTAAAGAGGCTTTTAGAGAACATGATCATAAGTAACAGCTTTGAATAGCTATAGTGGAAAAGGGCAGGATCTCACAAGTGACACAGCTGCAGTCATAATAGCCATTGACTTGCACTGTCAGTGCACAGTGCCAGAAAACTGGGACTTATAAAGACAAAATCTAAAAGAGCCAAATGTGTGTGGTCTGCTCAAAATATGGTGTCTACTGAGGCTGCTAACGAAGGCAGCAATTATAGGCAGGAGACACCTGCATGACAGGAACTGGGATCTTTCGACCGATCGTTTTAAACCAACTTCAGAAAGCCAATGACTGTCCATTTCTATCTGAAAGCCAAAAGGCCAGATGTGAAAAACACCAAAAGCTGACCAATAGAACATTGTGATACTAAAACGATCCTCTGAAACAAAGTGATAGGGTCAAGTGTATCCATACCATTCCGCAACAGGGTTTTCTGACTCCTGCATGAACATCTTCATCATGCCCTGAACGATGCACAGTTTTGAGCTGGTAACATATTGCATATACAGTATACAAAGAGGCATTAATAAGAAACAAATAAGTTCTAATGCCTCATTATACAGTACATAATCCCCTGCTGTACACATAGTGGATTCATTCAGAGGCATAATGAAATTATATATTTCAGAAGTAACCTACAACACTGTAAATAAGACAAAGATCTACAGATTCATTCAAACAATATTACATTTTAAGTATAAACCTTCCTCTTTAATCATGAGTTGCCTACATAATTAAATGGTGTTCAGTCCTGGTTCACTCCTTGACCATATTGAATTAATGATCATTGGGAAACGAAACTCATCAAATGATGATGCTTTGATGATGGTTTATGATCATCATCAAATGATGCTTTGATGAGCAAAAACTCATCTCAGTCTGAGGAAACCATCAGTGTGGGTGAACTAGACAATCAGTTGTCAGATCATTATGTTTTCCTGTCTTAATGACCTTGAGAGCTATATGTGGCTGACAAGGGCATGGCACGCACCTTCCAGAGTACTCTAAGTCAGACAGTCTTCCAACTCTACACAAACTTCCAAAACATTTGAAATTGAAGCCTGTAGGATTTGATCACTCTCTCCCAATAATGGAGCTCTTACAACTTACACATCTGTAATCAAAAAGTAATACAACCTCATAGCTCAACCTCAGCTGTAGGAAGACAGAATAATGGGAGTGACAGTACATTCATCTTGATTGAATGATTTGATCTGGGAAAATGCTCAAATGCAGTTATTTACATATTCCCAAAAATGAAGTATTAAAAACACATTCATGTCTCCGAGTACAGTTAATTATAGTGGAGTTATATATATCAACACCAACTATCTCCCTCCTGAGAAGCCTTCCTTTCCTGAGTATGCAATGCTTATTCTTAGGTGTGCTTACCTAGCTAGATCATTGCTTTTATCTAGCTAGATTATGCTTTCAACATGCTTTTTGCCTCCAGGCTGACTCTGCACAGTTTCATTTGGAGTGAAGGATCTGGATATAAATTCACATACCTTCTTTAAGTATCTTAAAATGAGAGCAGAATACAATATTTATGCCTGTATTATCCTCGATTGCTCTCTGTAAACTAAGCTGTCTAAATTGAAAAATGATTTTTCAGTCATTTAAGGAGTTACAGTAAAAGGACCCAGTTGATTTGTTTATAAAGCAGCATAGAGAAATAAATACTTCTGTCTTACAATAATAAAATTGTCAATTGCTATGATTTCCCCAGATGGTTTTGTTGCTAAGGACTAAGCACTTGAGCTTATCCTTCCTTAATTGAAAACAGACACTAGATATTGCATTATTAGGGAAACACTTCTGATTCCTCAAATCATAATAAGAACATAAACACTGTTTTCCTGTGGCTTGAGTTCACTAATCTTCATTTTTATTGTTCTTTAAAGCACTTTTCAGACACTTTATGCATAAAGAAAAGAACATACAGTCCTGCCAGAACTTCCCTTTTTTGTCATTAAATACTGTTTTTCAATTATTATTCCTGAGACTAGGCAGACTATATACTATATACTGTATATACTGTATGATATTTTATTATGTTTTTAATGTTTATTTATTTTGCTGACATCTTTATCAAAAGCAACTTTCAGATCCAAGGCAAAGTGCATTAAAATACACAGAATCCAATATCTGTTGTGAGGCATGTTTATTTTGAATAATGCTGTATATTTAAAACCTTTTTGTTAGTTGGATTTTGAAGTCTGTCTGCATTTGAACAGTGATTAATTTGAACAACTCTTTGCAGTGTAACGCCCAAATAAGATTTAGGTTTCACAAACTTAAACATGTTTACTTCTAGCCCAATTCATCAACAAAACAATGGAATTAAGTTAGAGAAATTTCTGGCGCAGTCTCCCAAAAACAGTACATTACTATGCAACCTAGTTACAGCTGATTGAAATCTGCATTCTTGTTGTATAATTGCAATTATTTCAAATCACCTTGGACAAAGGCATAGGCTAAATAATTCATTAATATGCTAACGTATTTTTGATTGTAGTGGATTGGGGTAGTTGCAAAGTACATTGTGAAAATATTTTAGGAAAGAAAGCTTCTTCCTACCCAGCCAACCAGAATAAACAATCACATGTCCTAAAATGTGAATGGAGATTCTGTGGTGTTTACTACCCAATGAAGAGCTCCAAGAGGATATTACTTCTTTTTAAATTAGGCTGCACTGGAATGAAGCAAGTCACCCAGGGGGGGAAAAGAGTCAATATTTCAGAGCTCTCTCCTATTCTTTCAGTGTGATCCTCCCAGCTTCATAACTTCAGAAAGGATGTTCGGTTTTAATCGTTGAGCTGTTTTCCAGAAGACTCCGTGGTGACTCACCTCCCAACCTCTGCTGCAACCTCTTGCCAAGCTGTCAGATTGCCCCCCCTCTCCCCCAAACCAGACCTGGGGCTGAGGGCAGAGGGGAGGAGGGAGGCTGGAGTGTGGTGCAGCTGGTTTGTGGTGACATGTTTATAGGGTGATAAGGCAGAACAGTCCCTTCTGGCTCCTTTCAGATGGGAGGGTGGAGTTTGAACTCCAGAGAAGAAATGTCTTACAGAGCTCCTCTTCAAACAGCCCAATCAGAGAGAGGAGGGAGCAGGAAGGCCTAGCAATATTGTGAGTACATATTGTAAAAACAAACAAGAAACAGGAGCCTTCCAATTTACAAACGAAAACTAGAGAAATTAACCATTTTTTCCTGGTTCTTCTACAGTGGTGGGCTAGATGCAAAGTATATCCAAGTTGCCAGCTCAGGATGCTTTGTGCTTAGCGGTAAATTTCAGGTGAATTATCTCATTGTCAAAGCAAAACAGTTTCTGTATGGCAATTTTGTGTATCAACAGAAATGGGTTCTGTGAATCCAGTCCTGTTTTTCATCGCTCTCCTTCTCTTTAAGATGGTTACAAAATAACCCACATATACAACACCATATTAATTTGTAAAAGCCATCAATAACTTATTACTATTAACAACCCAGGGCCTATCCTGGAAGCATAATGCACAAAGTGGGACAACATCCTGAATGGAATACAGATCCACCGCAAAGCAGACAAGCATGTAGACACCCTATAACTTAGCCTGCATGTTTTTCAAAAATGGGAGAAATAGAACTGACATGAATGTTGGGCTACCATACAAACTCTACACAGCAGGTGTTCTAGTCTGGAATTGAACCTAGGACCCGAAAGGCTGTGAAGTAGTGATGATAACCACTGTGGTACTGTGCTGTGAGTTTGGCAACTGCTGTGTTTGTACAAAAAAGCAAGGTGCCAATTCAGAAAGGTTTCTCAGTGCTGCATTGCACTCATTTTGAAAAGCATTATTTTTTATCATAGAAATTAGGCATAGGCAGTGCACTAATGTAGTACATGACGTTTCCATTCTGAATTGGACACGCCAAAAATCTATTTTTGTCAAGCAAATGTTAACTCCAAGTACGCATTAAGGATACCTGCTGTCATAGAGAAAAATAAAAATGAAGATTAGTGAACTCAAGCCACCAGAAAAGAGTGTGATAGTACCCAAAGAATCATACTTACAACAGTTAGGGTTTGTCAAAATCAAAAGAGTAGCTCTGGTGTATGGAATCTTCTGTGGTAAAGGTCAGAGCACTGGAGAGAGTGTAAATCCGTCCGCCTCTTTCTCACATCCTCTCTCTTTCCTGCATCCTTTGAGGAACATAAACACACAGGAGGCCTTGAAGAATTCCACTGGTTTTGAAGACTGCAGCCTGAATACCTCATGCCTAAACAAGACTTAAACTGGTGGTGAACCTGAGGCAACAATCCTGATTTCTAGTTTCCTAGACTTTAAAGTCAATGAGAAACATAATCCTCTGTCATTAATCTCAGTGGCTAGTTCTAGACCAGATTCTACTTTGCTTTATTTTGATTCCAGCATTTAATTGGGCTTTAGAGCTCATTGCTGTATTTCTCAAAAGCAATGTCCTTTAGCCCTTCTGCCAAAGTTCCGCCTTTTCCCAGAAAAGAGCTAAAAAACCAGGATACTGTTGGAGGCATAGTGTGCCTGAATGTACTGCTGACACCCCATCTTTTTCATTCACTGACAAACTGTCATGATCATTTACCTTGCAGGAAAGCATTCACAGTGTCAGTACAGGAGACAAAGAAGATCAAACACTGTGATTATTTACAGTGTAATGATCTCTGATCAGTTTGCCAAAACTACTGATTTATATTTATCTAAATTGTAGCCTAAAAACATTTTGGGCACTCTCTTATGGACTTTTTTTAACTTATTCTTCCATCTCTGATAATATGCAACTGGGAAATTTTTGGATTTAAAACTAAAAAAGGCTATATTCCTAGTGGGGACATCTCTGATATATGAATGTAATAACATTCCTCAATGGTAGGCCTATTTTCCTATTAAAATAAATCATACATAGATGTATAATTAACCTCCTTCCATTGACAACTGATTTTATTTAGCAAATAAAGTCATCTGTCTTTATTTTGTCGGTTCTGAACTCAAAATCAGCTATAGAATGCAGTGAAGCCCATTAAAACCATCATAGCTTTAAACCACGATCCATTAAACCACTAATAAAGTTAACCATTGCTATCTTGTAAAGAAATATTGTTTAGCAATGGAAATTTCCTGGCACGTTGAATGATGTAGTTGTATGAGTCATTAATCAAAACATACCAGACTCTCTGACTTCAAACTATTGTCATTTCAAAAAGTCATTAAAAAGAATTCTGGGACTCTCCCCTTACCTACAAAATGGCCACTATCATTTCCTCCGCAGCAAACCCCACACAAAAAAAGAACTTTATCGCCGCACTTTAACATAAAAACTTCCTCTGACATTTAATAATTACTTCAATAATCAGATTGCACTTACTGTAATAACCTAGATTTTTTTTTTATAAAAAGCATAAACCACAAGAGAAGATACATATTGAGAAGATATACAAGCAACAAGGTACCTTCAGAAACACTTGTTAGAGTTTCAAAGGTGTTTTAATTAAAAAAGAAATAATTTCTTTTAGTTTTCCAGTTCCAAACAAAGAGTTTATTTTCATGTGCTGCAAGCAGAAATGTTCTCTCATTTGCCTCGTTTGTTTTTCTTGAGCCGTGTTATTCCAGACACGGCAGCGTTATCCGCATTTATCTTTCCCATCTGCTCGCAGCGCCGTGGCTTTTACAGAATCGGACCGGAAAAGCAGATGTGTGATTCTCTGGGGGTGGGCGGACAGTGAGCAGGGGTGCTTTGAATCTTGAATTTCCTGCGACCACATTACTGGAAGCTACAAGCAGCGCATAATCTTGTCAGTTTGGAGACCGAGGACAAACATTTTGTCAAGCTTTGAGAGAAGACACTCTGGTGTGCCTCAGCAGAATGGGTGCTCTCTGATCCAGACATCACTGACTTGAGTCTTGGTCGTGTCACTAGTTTACTGCGACTATGAGTCTTCGTGAAGCAGCATAAATTCTGACCGAGGTACATGGGATTTAGTTAAACAGGGCTCTCATGCTTTGCAGTCAACAGAAACTCCAGTGCATTGCTGGAATGACCCCTCACTAAGTGGAGCCTAGTTCTCCTGTCAGGCAGTGTGGAGGTTGCAAAATGTTAAAAGATAAATGGCTGTATGGCCAGCTGGGCAGGTCAGAGTAGCCAGTCTGCTTTTCCTCACTGTCCCTGTGCAGTACAGTTTGAGCTGAAATATAATGAAATAATTAGTAGTTCCAAACTGGGTGAGTACAAAATGAGAAATACAATCGCTCAAGTGCACTTGGGGACGTAGAAAGTCTTTGCAATCTTATAGGCATGCTATATAACAACCAGGTAAACAAAATAAAAAATAAATAAAGGAAATTCTGTCTGGTCTGATCCACATGCCATACTGGCCGTAAATGGCTGTAACAGGTTTCAGATTCCTTTAACATACTGTACCTTAACACATACCCTCCACACAGCCTCTGATTCAACCCATCTCAGGCAAAGAACATAAGAATGGTTACAAACGAGAGGAGGCTTTTAACCCTTACTTAGTAGTTAATTGATCTGAGGCACTCATTCAACTGTTTCTTCAAAGAAGCTAGTGTATTGGCTTCAACAACAGGGTATTAGCTTATTCCATTAACGCACAACCCTTTGGGTAAAGAAGTGTCTCCTTTTCTAACCGATTTAGCCAATACAGGGTGGTAGGAGAGCCAAAGTTTAGCCTGGCAACCAATGAGCACAAGGCAGGATACACCCTGGACAAGAAGTTATTCATCTTAGGCCACTCACAGAGGCACAAACACGCACACTCTCACACCAGGGCTAATTTTCCCATAAGTCAATTAACACATTAGTATGTTTTTGGACTGTGGGAGTAAACCTGACCATGTGGAGGAAACCCATGTGAGCAGGGGGAGAAATACAAACTCCACATATCTAGCACCACTACCCCACATATAGTTGTACAAGTACTAATATATAGAATGCATTTATGTTACATACTGGTAATAAAAATGGAAAAACATTTTTACATTGCTAATTAAGAAAAAGTTTCCCATCAGGCTTACTTCTGGATATTAAAAGGCCAAAATGGCATGCTCTCCTCCTAGCAGGGGAACAGCTTCAGATTTCAGATGCTATGCCAATACAAACGGCTTGAGTTATCTTTCCTATGTGCTTTTAAGTTCTTCAGAAAAACAATACTGTACAGCGCACAAGAAAATTGCCTTTCCACATTTACTGGCTGAGATACAAACAGGTCCTCTGCCTTGGCAGAGTTTATGAATATTTATTGTTTATTTTTCTGATTAAAAAGAAATAATAAAAAATGCTTAAAAAGATGTTCCCCAAACATAACATTTAGAACAGCAGAAAATGCAGTTTCAGTGCAAGGGTGTTCGCTTTTTTAAAAATCTTTTTGTTTTTGGAAGCGTACTTTTGGTCACGCCAAGCAGCTGATGGTCCCTATTTTTAATGTATGTGACGCACTTCAAACCATGCTTCAGGCAGCTGATTTAATTGAATTTCCAAAGAGGAATTTCACTCAGGCTCACTCTTGTTTTCATTTTTATTTTTAGTTGGCCACGAAAGGGCAGCTGAACTTGGATGAGAGTCGGCCTTGTTAATATCGGGAAACCGCTTTCACAGGATCACAAAAGGTGTATGTACTGTACATGACCGGTTAAAAGTCATCCTTTTGTAGACCCATACTTTAGCCAAAAGACAAAAGGATGCCTGTGTGAGAGCTCTGATGAAACTACAAAAGGAGCCCCCATCCACACCCCAATACTTCAAGGGTCAAGAAAATAACCCCATGGCTCACCGCACTTTCGTTTTGAGGTCTTCCAAAACAATAGCTGATTTTGAAACCAACCATAAAAGTCTTAAAGATCCCATGGCATTTTCTGCAGTGATTACAGGGTCTTTGTATTTCCAAGTCTAGGTTACTAAGTCAAGGTCATGCACATCAATAGATCTACAGTACAGAAGGTTGCTCAAGAATATTGAAGCCTCTTAAGTTTTGCATGCTGAGCTGAGTCACTGTTACAAGGGAGGTGTGATTTCCAGAATCTGCTCTCTCAAGCTAATTTATTTATATTTGGTAATCTCATGATGGATGAAATGTCCTGGAGCCCCATCTTTTTTCTATATTACTCAGAAAAGATATTGTTTGACAAACTGTGCTATGTCTTGTTTAGAAGGGTGTTGCCAGTGAGGTCAGTGAAAAAAGTAGTAATATTAGAGTTGTTTGCAAAACATTTTGGGCATGGTTTCCTAAATTGCATTTTCATGGAGTTTATAACAGAGGAAAGCTATACTTATTTCGTCTCTCTAATACATCTAACCAAACTACTGAGTTTTCCATTTCGGTTAGCAATCTCCTTTAGCGAATTCAGAAGGCCCTTTTCTCCCCGAGAATTTCAGATGGGAAACCTTTCTGCCTGCATCAATGGTCCGACACTGAATTCTTTGTATCAAGAAATGTTCTAGGATCAAATTTTAAGAGCGCTGGAATACCCACACATGCAAGCTCTTAAGAAACTTCATACTTCATTGCTCAGTTCTGTTTTCTTTTAACTGTTAATGTTTTCTCCACTCAGCTGTCGTTTTGTAGAACCTGAAGTGAGGCACGTAGTTAGCAAATAGCTAGCACTGAAGAAATTGGAGCTGTCTTTTGGGAATATCCCAAAATAAAACTCTCTGTTCTCCCATATCTGGCCTCATATAAATAAGATATTACCGCAGGCAAACTGTAACATGGGAAATGGCCTATCCAACATTATAAACACACAAAATGATTCTTGGCAGCCCATTAGTCAAAGGGGGTTGTGATGGAATTCATAAATAAATCACTTTTCGAGGTGGATCATGTGTCTACACCCCCACACTAAAAAATAAACAGGGTAAGGCAGAAATAGCTGATTCAAAGTCTTACTAGAGGAAATCTGTTCTGCTTGTTGGCATAATTTGGGACATTTTTACCACATTCATTTTTCATTAAGTCCAGGCATTATGTTTTTTTTCTTTAACAGTTCAAATCTGTCTTCAATTTTGGAGCTGACTCATTACTTTGGAATAAGGATGGTGAAAGTGCCTTTAAGTGTTACGAATCCTAGTCCTAAACTACAGCATAATGACTTCACATATTTTAAGTACATTGAAGTGCTGGCTTTAACGTAACATCACGGTAAAGGATTGTCCTTGAAACCATGCAGTAACCTGTGACTACTTTTATTTTGTTTTGAGAGATGTGGAGAAGGGACGATTTTAAATTATTAGCTGCAAGTGCTGTACAAATCATGAATTCTCAAGGGTAATGCCAGCTGCATATTCACTTTCTCTGAGTTTCAAATGAACTAATTTGGACTTTTTTTCAGTTCGTTAATATTCTGGTTCAATTTTTTACTTCACAGAAATGCTTCACAACTGAGTCTTGATTGTAAAGACTGGGAGGGGTTAACGGGGATAGTGAGAGGTTTTCAAACAACATATGTATGGTTTCTATTTTCTTCTCTCACAAAGAATTTGGAAAAAAGACAACATTGTTGGAAAAACTGAGTCTGGATTGCATAACAGTGTCACAGAACCCCATTAGCTCAGTATCTGTTCACCTTGGAAAAGCACTGTCATCGCCTCCAGTCAGCCATCAACAGTGAGACTGTACATGAAAAACAAAGACTAGGAGTGGGTCATGGTGGTGACAATCCGAAATGTGACAGTGCAAACTGTCATAAAGTTGTGATTTCTGCCTTCTTCCAGCAACCAACGTGACAGTATCAAGAATCCTTAGCTGAAATTCAAATTAATACCTTTCCCTTTCTCTGTGCATTAAAATGATATAAGGGTGAAATCTATACGTTAACTGAACTGATGATGACAACCAAGCCACTATTGTCCCAGCTGTTTCTAATCATAATGCTTGCCAAAGCAACATGTGATTTGCAAACCCATCTTCTTTTTGCATTTTGTCTCCAGCGTCCCTCCCCTGCTCCATCTCCACCTGTGCAGCTGTCCCTTGGTTCACTCCTCGTTCTGCATGGGTGTCCCAGTCACCTCGCCCTCAGACAAGGTGGTAAAGCCAAAAAGCATCAATATCTAGAACACCCAAGAAATGTCCTCAAACACGTTTTTTTCATCACAGTTGTTATTCCCTTTGAAAGGCATTAAAGTCACTTGACAATGCTTTTTTTTTTCATGTAAGGGAAACCCATTCATTCCGAATGTGGCTCATGGCTACCAAAGAGAAGAGATCTACGTGTTTTGGATGCTAATACCCAGTTATTTGTGTATAATATACTATGTATGCAGAACCTGCTTAGATCACCAAAGATTTTCCAATGACAGCAACAGCTGCACCTAGAGTAGAAGACTACTACTAGTAGAAGACTGTAAGGCCAAGAACAGAAGGAGCTAGATAGATAGAAAGAAAGATAGATAGATACTTTATTGATCCCATGAGGGAAATTGCAGTGCACCAGCAGCATAACACAGACAACACAGCCACAGTGTAATCAGTACAGTGAGGGGTGCACTAAAAGAGTTACTCACAGTCCAGGACACACAAAGAACAAACTAGAACAGAACAGTACGCAGAAAAATCATATTGCACATATGAATATAAATATAGATGTAAATATAGATATAAATATAAATATAAATGGATTGTATGGGTCCCTGGCACATA